CCCACACACACATATATATATATATATATGTGTGTGTGTGTGTGTGTGTTAGAGAAACAAAAATAGAAGATGGGGAATGGTATTCATGGTTATATGCAGAGTTGTGATTGTAATGTGCATTGTAGATAACCTTTAAAATTGCACTTAAATGCACTATTTATTATCATTATTTTTATTATTATTATTATTATTTTTTACAGACAGCAATGACACTGCCTTTATCTTTACTTCCAATCGACAGAACATTTATCGCTCAGATTTAAAGCAGTGGAATTATGAAGTTCTCCCAATTACTGGCACCAATATCATCGCAGTGGAGGTGGATGTTGCAGGGGGGCAATTGTTTTATGCTGATTCCAGGGCTAATAAAATATACCACTGTAATGTAAATGGGACCGATTGTAAAGTGGTACGAAATTTTTTAATTTCAGAAAAAATTTATGATAAAGAGAATTTTATATCGGACTTCTTATTAGTATAACTTTTTTTGCACCTGTGTAATATTGATACAATATTGGCTTGACATGAATAAAAAGTGAAAAATGCCAATGCAAGTAAAGACAGAGAAGATAAATAAAGTACCTACATGTTCTCTTATAGTTGTTTGAAAGTGGTGTGGATGTGACGGAGGGTTTGGCGGTGGACTGGGTTGGCAGAAATATCTACTGGACTGATTATGTGCTGGAGACTATAGAAGTAGCCACATTGGATGGACGTTACAGGACAGTGTTGTTTGGGGACAACGTAACCAATCCAAGGGCAATTGCACTTGATCCAAGAGAAGGGTAAGATATCAGAGAATGAACCTGTTTGCATACAGGGCATTTTACCAAAATTAATTATTTTACTTTCACTGACTTAACTTTAGAACTATTGAATAATAATTTGATTATTATGTTAGATTTTTTCTGAAAACTATTTTAAATTATTGTTTCATTCTAAGATGCAATAGCTGTTTTACTTCTGAACACTAATTTTAATAAGTTAAAACTTATAAATTCAGACAAAGATTGATGTTCTGGACAGACTGGGGCCAGAATCCACGTATTGAGAGGGCAGGCATGGACGGTAGTGGACGCGTATCTATCGTAACAACTAAACTCTTCTGGCCTAATGGTCTGGCTATTGACCTTCCTACCAAGCGTCTGTATTTCTGCGATGCCCATATGGATTATATTGAATTTGTGAATTATGATGGAACAGGGAGACACCAAGTGATAGCCAATAGCCACGTGAGTTATGTTGAAGATTGTATGACTAATTTGCATTTTTGGTTAATTTCTTGAAAAAATGTAAGGAATTTGTATGTTTGTGCCTCTTTGAATAAATGCTTGGATGCCAGCTAGTGATAGCTTCCGGTTATGTACAGCTTTGTGGAATATATCAAATAATCATATAAAATAATTTATATTAGTAATTTTTAAGCGAAAATACATGCATGTGAAAATATAAAGTAGAATGGATTGATTTTTTTGTTTTTAAATTTCAGTTTCTCCGTCACCCTCATGCTATGACAATCTTTGAGGATAATGTCTACTGGACAGATCGTCTGAACAACCAACTCAACAGGTGCTCTAAGTTCACGTGTGACACGAAGACCATAGTAATAAAAAACATGAACCAGCCTCTTGGTGTTGCTGCTTTTCATTCACTAAGGCAACCTACTTGTAAGCACCAATATTTTTATTTTTACTCTAGTTACTTTTCTTTGTGTAAATGAGAGGAAATTGGTGTATGAAGGATTATCCTATAGATACCCAATTTCCTCTAAGCACATTTTGTTTTTCTGTGTAAATATCAAATAGTAATATTTACTGACCTTATCATAGAAAATTGTGACAAAAAATCTTTGAAGTTTAAGAAGAGAACTGCCACAGGGCTTGCTTTTGGTTGCACACCTTTTCCTCAGTTTGGAAAAAAAGATGTATATGATTTATATCCTTTCTATTTTTTAAACACGCCCACATTCATAAAATGTGCCTTCAGTTCAGAGATTATGAATAATTCTTTGTTATTCTCAGCCTCCAATCCCTGTGCTCAGAATGGGTGCAGCCATCTTTGTTTGCTGTCCCCGGATCCTAACCAGTCGTACAAGTGTGCCTGTCCTGTGGGAATGAAGTTAGATAGCTCAGCACATAACTGTCAGCAGGGTCAGTATTCACTGGTAATTCTAAAACTATCAATATTCATTACTTTCATTTGTTTTCCTATTTCAGTGCTGTTTGCATTTGTATGCGTGGGTGTAAGAGAAAGTGAGAGAGAGAACGTAATTTTGATGTAATGTGACATTCCAATGTGAAAAGTAGAATGGAAAACAACAATGTTGGTTATTCTTGGGTTATCTTACCTTTTTTGCAGCACATGATGAATTCTTGATGTATATACAAGCTGGCCAGATAGGTGGCAGCACATTTACTAATCCAGGAGAAGTCACTGACATGTTTGTGCCAGTGGTGGGACTTACTGGAGGCTGGGATATGGATTATGACAGCAAGGAAGGATTTGTCTATTGGATCGAGTACTCAGAACAGTCAGGAGAAGTATGTAGAACAGACAGATGGCTTTGTCCATTTGTGGAAATCATCATTTAACTGTTTGATTGCTTAAGAAAATTAAGTTATTTGTAGGTTGGTGTTAGACATTGATGCAACATATTTTTTCAAACATAGTTCTAGCATCCCTTTACAAGATGGTTGTAATTCTTAAAATACTTTGAATTTTATATTTATATAAGTTTGTTATCAAGATAAAAGAATACTTGTGAATCTATGATTTTTTGTTGCCCTAGGGATCTGTAAAGCGTAGGAAACTTACCGGAGAAAACAGGACAGACTTCGCTCCCAGTGCCTTTGTCTCCTCACCTTACAGTCTAGCCATCGACTGGTTGTCTCAGAATATGTACTGGGGAAGTATAGAAGACTCCACCATCAATGTTATCCAACTGAACAGTGATCAACACTATAGGAAAATTATACTGAGGAACTCTGGAAATGTGACTGGAGTAGGACACCCTGTCTCAATTTGTGTGGACCCCGTAGAAGGGCAAGTCTCATTTCTGAGAACCATTGGATTGTTTTTAAACAGTGTGTGTTCCGATCAATATCCAATGAATTTAGATATAAGATATTGCTGTAAATCTTCTTACTGGAAAGCTTAAATTTTGAAACATTCAATCCATTCTGTGTTATGTCTTAATTGCTTTGAAATATTTTCATCAATTCTAATATTTTTTTCCAGAAAAGTGTACTGGCTGGATGAAGGTTTTGCATCTGTCCCAAGGAAGGTGGCCAGCATGTATATGGATGGTAGCAACCCCACTGTGCTGGTCTCAGATAACCTGTTTGAATTTGGGTACATCACACTGGATGCTGCCAACCAGGCACTCTATTGGAGCCAAGGAAGTCACGAAACGGTAGG